CAGTTCTTGGGGGTAGATAGGGGATGGGGGGATAAAGCAAAAAAAAAAAGGCTCATAGATATGGACAACAGTGTGGTGATTGCAGGTGGGAGAAGGGGGGAGGTGGAAGAGTGTATAAGGAGGATAAAGGGTAATGGGAAAAATACAAAAAAAATAAAACATTTGTTAAAAGAAAAGAAAAAATAAGAGGCTGATGTGGTTTTTTTTTTTCTTAAAAGAACCACATGGAGCTTCTAGAAATTCAAAACAACATGTCCAGTAACATCAAAAGCTCAGGAAAGGGGTTGGTGAACTGGAAAATAGAGCTAAGGAAATTATTCAGGACTCAACTAGGAGAGATAGCAAATGTATAAAAGATTAAGAAATATGGGTGGGGGGGTGCAAAGGTCCAAAGACAACTAACTGCAATGACAAACAGAAGAATAGGGAGAAGGTATAAACCAATATTCAGAAGGATACTGGAGGGAAATTTTCCAAATGATAAAAGACAGGATTCCTCATGTTTTGAAAGCACAAGCCACACACAGAAACAATAAAAACAAATCATGGGAAACTACAAACAAACAAAGAAAAGAGGAAAGATCTTAAAAGCAAACTTGAAAGAAAAAAACTTTATTCTTAAATTATTATTTAACTGATAATAAATTGACAAAACATTTCTCACCAACCATAATAAAATGAAATTCATATTACTAAAGCAGCTAGGAGGAAAAAATAGGAAGGAATGTCAAACCTAACTAAAGTACCAATCAAAGATGAGGGTTAAGTAAAAATATTCTTTCAAAAAACAATCGAGAAGGTTGACTACATACAAACCCTCACTAAAAGAACACCTTTAAAGATGTTCTTCCATTATAGGCAAACTGAACACAGAAGAAAGAAGATATAACAGAGGAATGGTGAACAAAGAAATTAGTAGCCATGGCTATGAGGCTAAAAAGAATAAACTGTTTAAAACAGTATAACTGACAAAATTATAACTAAATGTTGGACAACATGGACTTTTAACATAGTCTTTGTAGTATTTGGGATGAAACTGGAGATGATGGTTAACTTTAGACTTGATGAAATGATGAAAATGTTAATGACCCTAGTAACCTCTGCTCCATTAGTGTCCCACATATGGAAGACTAGAAATCTAAAATTTGTATAAAACTAATTAACTACAAGTAAAGTAGAATGCATCCCAGTACAAAATAAATATTCAAAACCAAAAGAGATTTCTTTGTAAAACATAGTGTAGTGAAGGAAGAGCCAAGCATTTCCCTTCCCTCATCATACTTAACAGATGAATAACAAATTGTAAAAGGCAGCAGGAAAAGAAAAGGAAAGGGAAAAGGGAGTGATGGAGGAAGGGAAGGAGGGAGAAAAGAAAGAAAGTGTCCTCCAAAAAAATTTTTTTTAAAGATTCATGTAAGGGAATGATTTGTTTACTATACTTTGTATTCTGCCTCCAAATCCCAGAAGCAATCCTGAGGGTGCAAAGTAAGAATAAGTTAAATTTTGTGAATAAGTTTTAATATTCTCTACCTTGAAAAAATGGACTAATGGAATATGTAGAAATAAATAAAGTAAATACCTTGTGAGCAAAAACACTAAATTGCAATGGTTAGATGTCACCAGCACTAGGAAGGCTTCCAATCCTTTATATTTTGCAGTATATTCTGCTAACTTGAGGAAATGAGGCAAAACCCTAGGAGTAAGCTAAGAGTTTGATAGTTACTCAAGAAGTTTAACATAATCATCCCTTGACTGAGATGCTGCAGCAACTTTTGAACTCCAATCTCAATCCTTGATTCTATCTCCACACAGCTGCCAGAACAATCTCAATGGAAAGAAATCAGGCCATACCACTCCAAAGCTTAATGACCTTAGTGGGCTCACAATACCCTAGAAGGTATTCCAAAACCTGAGCATAGCTTACCAGAACCTCCAAGTCTTGGGTCCTGCCAGCCCCTCCTCCAGCCACATCAACCACCAGTCCCCCATCGGCACCCTGCTGCCAAGCCTCAGTAAAATAATTGCAGGTTCCCCCCAATGCCTTAGCCTTTCATCAGGCTACAGATCCCTACACACGCGTGCGCACACAGCACACACACACACACACACACACTCAGACACTCACACACTCACACTTGCCCTCAGGCAGTTTCCCTGACCCAACCTATGCTTTCAACAACAAAAAATTTATGGACCACTCACTATACACTGTGACCATGGGTGTAACATATTTAAATCAATTAATGTAATACACTATATTAATAGAATGCACGGAGATGGAGGACCTCGTGATCAACTCGTAGATGTAGGGGAAAGGGAAGCATCTGACAAAATCCAACACCGTTTCATGAAAACAAACTCTACAAAATAGGAGCAAAAGGGAACTTCCTCAACCTGATGAAGGGCATCTATGAAAAATCCACAGACAACATCATTCATAATGATGAAAGACTGGGTGCTTTGCCCCTAGCATCAGGAAGAAGACAAGAATGTTGTTCTTGACATTTCTATGCAACATTGTATTCAACGTTCTAGTCAGGCCAAAGAGGCAGAGCAAATAAATAAAAGGCATCCCAGTTGGAAAGGAACAAGTCAAACTATCTCTGTAGATGACACGTTCATATATATAAATGTGTGTGTGAGTACACATGTACAACACTAAAGAACACACCAAAAACACAGCAACCTATTCAACTATGCAGTAAGTGTTCAGCAGAGTTGCAGGATCCCAGATCAATGTGCAACCATCAGTTGTATTTCTACACACTAGCATGGAACAATCCAAAAAATGAGGTTAAGAAAATAATTCCTCTTACAGTATGATCCAAAAGAATAAAATACTGAGGGATAAATTTAACAAAAGACATGTAAGACTTGTACCCTGAAAACTGCAACACATTGCTGAAGGAAATTAAAAAGGATGGAAATAAATGGAAAGTCATCCCATGTTAGTAGATTGAATATTTACTATCGTTAAGATGACCATAATCCCCAAGGCAATATACAGATTCAGTGCCATGCCTGTTACCATCTAACCTGCTGCCTTGTAAAAATTGGCAAGGTGTTCCTGAAATTCGCATGGAAATGCAAGGGATGCAGACAGCCAAAACAATCTCAAAAATGAAGAACGAAGTTGGAGGACTCTCACTTCCCAATTTCAATGCTTACTGCAAAGCTATCCTAAAACGTGTGGCACTGGAATAATGATTATAGGCCAATGTTTTAGAATTTGGAGTCAGAGATAAGCCCGTATGTCAGTAAATAGCTGATTTGCAATAAGGGTGCCAAAACTATTCAATGGCTGAATGAAAAATCTCCTCAACAAAAACTGACAGGACGACTGGATACCCACACATGTAAGGATGATTAGGGACCCCAATCTCACACCATGTACAGATATTAATTCTGATGGGTCACAGACCAAAAGGTGAAGACAGAAACTATAAAGCTCTTGGAATAAAACATAGATGCAAGCCCCCATGACCTTGGAGTGGGCAACAGTCACAAAACATGAGAGCAAAAGCACGGCCACAAAAGACAGAGAAAAAAGGGAAATGGTATGCCATCCCAATTCAAAACTTTGGTGCAGCAAAGGACTCTACTAGGAAGTGAAAGGACGACCTATAAGATGGGAGAAACATTTGCAAATTACATATCTGATAATGGCCTATTTTCCAGCATGCATAAAGAACTCTCACAACAGAAAGGCAAGCAACCCAGTTTTAGGAAACGGGTGAAGGACTTGAAAGTACATCTGTTTCCTCCAAGGCAGATGTATGAATGGCCAAGAAACGCATGAAAAGATGCTTGACATTATTAGCCATTAGGGAAATGCAAATCAAAACCACGAGATACCACTTTCTACCCACTAGGATGGCTATTATCAGCAAGGCAACAGGAAAATAACAAGTGCTGGTGAGGATGTGGAGAAAGTGGGACCTTCATACACTCGCTGGGAGTGCAAAATGGCACAGCCACTGTGGAAATCAGTTGGGAGGTTCCTCAGCAAGTTAAACACAGAATTACCTTATGGCCCGGCAATTCCACTCCTAGATATATACCCAGAAGACCTGAAAACAGGTGTTCAAACAGAACCCTATACAGGAATGTTCACCGCGGTGCTAGTCACAACAGCCAGAAGGTGAAAACCACCCAAAAGGCCATCAGCTGATGAACAGGTGCACAACACGTCGTCCATCCACACAATGGAAGTCTCAAGTGCTGATGCATGCTGGCATGTGAGTGAACCATAAGGAGAACATTATGCTAAGTGAAGGCAGCCAGAGACACAAAAGGCCACCTACTCATTGTATGATTGCATCTCTAGAAGGCTCTAGAGTGGATACACCTCTATGCACAGGAAGCAGGCTCCTATTTGCCTGGGTTCTCAGGGAGAGGAGAGGTTGTCAGCCAGGGGAGGGGGAGTGGGGCAGGGGGTGGGCAGTGGGGAATGACTGCCTGATGGGTGCAGGGGTTTCTTTTTGGGTGGTCCCAACGTCATGGAAGTAGACAGTTGTGATGGCCGCCCAACACCACGAGTGCTGACCTGGTGCCATGGGATCATACATGTTTGTTGCTGTTTCCGTACAACATTCCTGGCCAGAGGAAACAGAGAGTTCCGTTGAAGAGAGGGCCCAGAGAGCTCCGTCGAAGAGACGGCCCAGTGGGTCGCGTGCGCAGGGTGCCACCAAGCGCCCTTGCTTGGCAGGCCCAGGCCCACAAGGGCCAATGGCAAAGCAGTAACCTCATGGAACTTCAGGGGTGTCACACAGCCTGTGCCTCCACCAACCAGGGGCCGGCCCGTGGTTGCTAGGATACGCAGCAGGGGCCTGTGTACTGGCCGTTCAGAGACGTTGGGACCAACTGCCCAATCTCACCTGACCGCACCTGACCTCACCTGACCGCACCTGACCTCACCTGGCCGCACGGAGACACCCCGCAGCACCCCGCAGCACACTGCAGAGCTAGGCCGGTGGGAGCAAGAGCACCCAACGCCCAGCATGCCTGGTCGAAGGAGCCGTAGGGGGTCGTCTGGTACCGGTCACCATCGCCAGAGGCGGATCCGCACCCGTACCTCCAGAGCTGAGCTGCTTTTCTCCGTCAGCCACGTGGAGCGCCTCCTGCGCGAAGGCCACTACGCCCGGCATCTGACCTCATCCGCACCCGTGTTCCTTGCTGCCATCATACAATATCTGACCGCCACGGTCCTGCAGCTGGCCGGGAACGAGGCCCAGAGGAGCGGCTGCAGGCGCATCACCCCAGAGCTGGTGGACATGGCCATCCACAACAACGCCCTGATCAGTGTCTTCTTTGAGGGTGTCATTGTTTCCCTAGTGGGCCCCGGGCTGGCAGTAGCTGCCCAACTGGACATGGGTTCTCCGGGCCTCAACCCCAGGGCGCCAGGCCTCTTTGCAGCCCAAGCAGCCCAAGCCCGGCTGGTGCCTTGGGCAAAGCTATTGAAAATAAACTGTTTACTCTTGAAAGAAACCCATGTGCCTGCTTCGGTCACTGTGTCTGCGTGGGGGTTGAGGGACAGAAGTCATTGGAGGGATCGGGGCAGGGTGGTGTCTGCCAGCGGGTGAGGGTGGAGTCAGGGATGGTGAGAGGAGCAGCCTCCGGAGGTGCCAGTGCAGGGTGTGGCCCTGGGTGGGGGAGGCTGCCTGAGATGGCTGTGAGGATGGGGTGTGGAAGACTCCCCCATGGCCTCTGAGCAAATCAAAGCCCATCAAAGTCCCCCGAAGGATGGTGTTCATGGGGGTAGAGTACTTAGGCCATGACTAAGGCATCGTGATAGGGTGAATGTGTCATGCCAACTCGGGTGCGGGATGGAGGAGGGGACGGAGGGGTTGGCGTGGACTCCAATGGGGCAGTGGATGGACGGGAAGATTGAGGGGGGGGGCAATCAAGAAAATCCAAATTCCGAATGATGGTCACACGGGATCAGGAGTTCAGTTTGACTCCTGGTCCCTTAGGGATGTTAGGAAACACCCTTAGCAACCTGGGTAAACAAGCTGTGATATACCAATAGTGGGTGCCTGAGGATCTTTTGTTTGCATATACAACTTGCACCAGGCAAGGCCCCACCCTTCAACAAATTTGCAGAGGAACCGTGTCCCTAGAAAGGCTTTTCTCAGAACCCTTATTTGTGTAACTTGAGCTGGATCTGGTTCTTCCTCAAATTACTTGATTTGCATATTACCTAGGGAAGGGGGCCTTAGGATCTGAAAGCCAGATTAATAACAGACTGATACCCATATCTTTAAATTAATGATATTTCTTCATGCCTTATATAGTTTGAATTTGATTAGTAAGAAATTTTATGCCTACTGCTTCCCTGCTAGTGTACCAGTCTGTTATTAAACTTCAATTTATTTTGATAATGGGAACATAACACCTGCACTCCACTTCAGAATGGTGATTAGATAAGGTTAAAAATAAATTATATGAAATTTTAATTGCATATGTCTGTATATATAATATATAACATAATATGTATTTAAAATATGTCAAATATAGTTATGCTAAATTAAGAATTTACTAAGTATTAGTGACAATACCGTATGCTGCCCACCATACTGTTTTACTTCCTTTTTGTTTTCATTTAATTCTTTATCTCACACAATATAATCAATGTATTTTGTATCCCCTTCTATGAATTTAACACATGTATACATGTGTTTATTCACCAACATATTCAGGACATAGAACACCTGCTATGAACATTGGTGTTCAAGTTTTTATATACACATATGTTTTCATATCCCTTGGGTAATTCCTAAAAGTAATAAGTGTTAGGTCATAGGTTAGGTATATATCTAGCTTTCCAAAAAAAGTGATAAACTTTTCCAAAGTGTTTGTGTATCATTTTATACTCCCACTATGTGTGGGGTTTTCCATTGTTCCATATCCTTGTTGACATTTGGTGATATCAGCAGGTTAGTGTTAGCCATTCTAGTAAATGTATAATAATATATTACTGTGGTTTTAATTTCCAATCAGCTAATGCTTAAAGATGTTGAGTATATTTCTGTTTTGCCAATAAAGTGATGTTAAAATCTCCGACATGATTGTGATTTCTTAAATACCCAAATAAGCATTTCAGCACATCTCTAGCATTTATTCATCTTGCTTATCTGCAACTTTATGCCCTGGAAATTACCATTGCACACTTGGATTCTTTGAATTTGGCCATTTTAGATACCTTATATAAGCGGCATCATACAGTATTTGTCTTTCTCTGAGCAGCTTATTGCACTTAGTATAATGTCCTCAGCATTAATCTATATTGTTTAAGAAAATCTTTCATAGATGATGTTGAGTCAAGTCTTGTTTTTATAGACAGTGTGATTATCAGATTAGTTTACATTGTCAAAGCTTAAATTAAGTCATATTAATATTTTTAAAGATGTTGGAATCAAGTTTTAGTTGGAATTCAAGCCAAAATGCTATTTCCGCCCCTTTCCCCTGTAGTCTTTGAATAATAGGGAAGGTTTCCACAAGCTCATGTACTAGGAATTGGGAACTCAGCATTTGGTTACCCATTCCACCTCTTGTTCCAGATATTTTTTTAGTTTTACAATGGTTTGTGGAACTTAAAAACCCTTAGCTAAGATTCTGAATGTTTTGAAAAAAATTAACAGTGTTTCTTCAGGCCTACTCATGATTCAAAATCCAAAGATGAAGTTGAGAGTTCTTTGAAAAGTTCAAGAACTTGCTAACTCTTGCAACATTTTCAAGGTTTTTAGACCATGCCATTGATATATATGTATATATGTGTGTATATATATAGTTATAGATAAAAGCTTGAACTTGTATCTCCGCTGAATATTCACTATGTAGGGTAGTTAGGCACATTTTAAATTTTCTCATCTCTCTTTGTCTTTGCCCAAAACCTTCACAGATCACATTTACTTAATGTTACAGGATATATTTACACAAGGTTATTCCACAGCCCCTACCTTACATTGAATAATTAACATTTTGAATAGTCTTTTCTATCATTATCTTAGACATGCTATAACGAGGAACTAATAAGCTAAACATATACAAGAACTTCTTTGTTATTATTTTACCAAAAAAAAAAGATTTTAGCTCCAGCTGGAATGGCTCAGTGGATTGAGTGCCAGCCTGTGAACCAAAGGGTTACTGGTTCAATTCTCAGTTGAGGGCACATGCCTGGGTTGTGGGCCAGATCCTCAGTAGGGGGCATGTGAGAGGCAACCACACATTAATGTTTCTCTCCCTCTCTTTCTCCCTCCCTTCTCCTCTCTAAAAATAAATAAGTAAAATATTTTTAAAAGATTTTAACACACAGCAATGGAGACTCAAGTAATATTTGCATGGGACCCTTGAACTGAAGGTGAGTTCTTGGATGTTCTCTGCATATATGTTCCCTCTACAAATACTGGTTTTCCTTCATCAGCTGCTATAGACAAGAGTTTCGTATTACATTTCAAGCCTTCCTCATGGTGCATTAAGTGGATGAGGCAAGCAGAGTAGCATATCATTTTCTTTTTTGTCACCACAGCTTTAATTCTTAACTGACCTTATTTCTAGATTAAAAGCCCAAACCACAAACTAGTTCAGTAAATAATAACAACTGAGACTGTTGGTACTTCCTATGATCCATTAAAATGATTAATTTTGAACCAGGGACTTCCAGCCACCATGGCAGCATAGGTGGAAATATTGTGCCTCCTCACATAACCAAATATAAGGACAACGAAGATTTAGAAACAAAAACACAACCAGAACAGACATAAAATTGAACTGTATGGAAGTCCAACAACAAACCATTGATCCAGACCGGTAAGAGGGGCGGAGTCGGCAGCGAGTGGATAGGGGTTGTGGCAGAAAAAGGTGTTGGAAGGCAGACCCAGGTGCACAAGGAGGAAATGAGCCAGTGAGGCACACAAGGCGGTTGGCTGACCTCAGTCACACATTCTAGCACTTGCAGATAAACCAGGCAAAATGGACAGTGAGACAGATCATGCAATCCAGGGTCCCAGGAACAGAAAATAAAGCCTAAAAGCACCAGTTGAAAAAACTTGCGGGGGTTGAGGTGCTAGGAGAGACTCCCAGCCTCACAGGAGAGTTTGTTGGAGAGACCCACAGGGTCCTAAAACATACACAAGCGCACCTACCCAGGAATGAGCACGAAGGGCCCAATTTGCTTATGCAAAGCAGCAGAGGGGACTGAAATCTAAGAGAGAGAGGAGCCAGCACCTCTCTGACCCTGCTCCCACATACAGCATTACAACCAAGCCACTGGGTTGCTCCGCCCTGGTGAACACCAAAGGTTCCATCCCTCATTACGTAAAAGGCACTTCAAGACAAAAAAAATGGCCCAAACAAAAGAACAGATCAAAGGTCCAGAAAAAATACAACTAATGATGAAGAGATAGCCAGCCTATCAGATGCACAGTTCAAAACACTGCTGATCAGGATGCTCATAGAATTACTTGATTTTGGTCACAAATTACATGTAAAAATGAAGACTACACTAAGTGAAATGAAAAATGCACAGGGAACCAATAGTGATGGAAAGAAAATTGGGACTAAAATCAATGATTTGGAGCGGAAGGAAAAAAGAAACAGCCAAACAGAAAAGAATGAAGAAACAAGAATTCAAAAAAATGAGGAGAATCTTAGGAACCTCCAGGATATCTTTAAATGTTCCAACATCTGAATTATAGGGCTACCGGAAGGAGAAGAAGAGGAGAAACAATTGGAAAATTTATTTGTACAAATAATAAAGGAGAACATCCCCAATCTAACAAAGGAAATAGACTTCCAGGAAGTCCAGGAAGCTCAGAGTCCCAAACAAGTTGGACCCAAGGAGGAACACACCAAGGCACATCATAATTACATTAGCCAAGATTAAAATGAAGGAGAGAATCCCAGAAGCAGCAAGAGATAAGGGGACAGTCACCACAAAGGAGTTCCCATCAGACTGTTAGCTGATTTCTCAAAGAGACCTTACAGCAAGAAGGGGCTGGAAAGAAGTATTCCAAGTCATGAAATGCAAGGACCTACATCCAAGATTGCTCTATCCAGCAGAGCTCTCATTTAGAATGAAAGGGCACATAAAGTGCTTCTCAGATAAGGTCAAGTTCAAGGAGTTCATCATCGCCAAGCCCTTACTATATGAAATGTTAAAAGGACTTATCTAACAAAAGGAAAATAAAAAAGATGAACAGTGAAAGGACAGCCAACTCACAGTTATTAACAACTACACCTAAAACAAAAGCAAACTAAGAGGACAGCTAGATCAGGAGTGCAGTCACATAGAAATGGAGATCATATGGAGGGTAAGCAACAGGGGAGTGAGAGGAGAAGAAGGGGGAGAAGGTACAAATAGCATAGACGGTGGGGAGAAAATAGACAGGGAGAGGGCAAGAGTAGTGTGGGAAATGTGGAAGCTAAAGAACTTATGACACACGGGCATGAACTAAAGGGGGGAATGTGGGGGGAGGGAACGTGCAGGGTGGAGGGGAATGAGGGGGGGAAATGGGACAACTGTAATGGCATAATCAATAAAGTATATTTAAAAAACAAGAAAAGATATATTTGGAAAAATTAT